TGTGTCCATTTTTTCCGTTAGAACTAGACCTAAGTCATGCCCCGACGTTGTGCAGGACAAGCTTTCATTGCGCAGGGTGTAACTTGCATTCTACAGTCTACAGGTGTGCACCTTCACTGGTTTGCACTTTAAAAAAAGTCATGCCACTGGCCACCGTCCAGTCTTCCAGAAGGTTTAAATTTTCCTGCAGTCTATCTGAGTCCTCCAGACACCTTGTGGCCCTCCATATCAGTGTGTAAGAGAGTCGGGCAGCTTAGACGGCGTGGTAGATCATTGGTAAAAATCAAAATCAGTGGTCCTAGGATAGTACCCTGCGACACTCCTGGTGACGAGCTGTGCCAAGATGATCGGACTCGGTTGACCCTAGTGCGAAATTGCGTGTCAACTAGGTAGTCCTTTAACCATGACAGAAGTAGCTCACCTATACCTGTCTGGCTTATTTTATGTAGAAGGTTGTGGTGAACAGTGCCAAATGCCTTTTCATAGTCTAGGGAGACCACGTGGACTGGAGCATTGATATCCCAGCATGATGTTCAATCGTCCCAAACTGATAGTGGGTTTGTTACACAGGATCTGCCTTTCCTGAAACCTTGTTGGACTTCATGTAGTATATTAGTCCTATCGAAATATTCCCTGATGTGGTCCTCAATAATACTTTCCAGTACTTTTGATACCACTGGGAGTAGAGCTACCAATCTATAACCAGTGGTATTTTACCTATCCCTGCCTTTGAAGACTGGAGAAAGGGTGGCACTTTTCCACTCTTTTGGCAGTGTCCCCCGAACCCATTGAGCGTTGGAACAAGTCGCACAGGGGCCTACAGAAAGCTTCGGCGCACTGTTTCAGAACAGATGGTCTGATGTCGTCACAACCTGGGGACTTCCCATGTGTGAGTCGCTGTAGCTTCATTTGTACTATTGCGGGGTTTATTCGGGGAGTAACCACTAGGTCTTCCTCCTGTGAAGTAGTGGTGCCACCATTTTGGTCCGTAACTGTAATACCCACATTACTGTTTAGGTGTTTGACTGAGGCTGAACTGAATGTTTAAGCCATCTCCAGACTAGTGAGATATTGACCGTTTGGGCCTACTAAGGCGCATGCCCCCTGGTTTGTCGGTTTTCTTGAATCGGTACAAGATTTTGGGGTTTGCTAGGGTTTTTTTACGAAGGTTAGCCTGGAATGACCTCCTGTCCCTCCTGACTCTTGCATTACACCGGTTTCTGAGTTCGAGGTATGCATCGTGGTCGGTTTGACTCTTAGATACACGCCACGTAAACCTAGCCTTCCGCTTCGCTTGCAGAATACGTTGCGTGCCTCTCTCCAACCATGACGTCTTTCTTTTGGGCTGTGTTGTGACTAAAGGGACGTAATCCGAGAATGCTATATGGATAATCTGTTTTACCACTTCCCAGTGTTCATCCATAGATAGGTCATCCCATGCTAAGGGCCAGTCTGCGTCGGACAAGAGCCTCCACATTTCAGCACAGTCAGTCTTGGTGTAACATAGACATGGTCGCTCAACGTCCCACTGCCAACGCTCACGGAGAACAAAATCGAGTCCTATGACTGCATGGCCACTACTTCCTAGAGGAGTCACGATCTGGACCTTTTCGACGAGTACTTGGTCACTAGTTAGTATATAGTCTAGTTTTGATGACTTTCCACTAGAGCCCCACCTAGTGTCGTCTCTAACATTTTCAGTCAGTCCCATGTTTCGAATAGTTTGCAGTAGATTTTGGCCAAATTTTCCCTTAGCACACCCCGAGCCAAGGTTCAGTGATGGGGCATTGAGATCTCCAGCTATGGTGATTTGGTCGTAGCCCAAATCTCGTATCCCTGTGATAGTGCTGAGCAGTAGCTGATTGTGCTTTGCCCCACAGGTGGGAGATCGGTAGATGCCACCTAGTAAGTGCTTGGTGGGGCCTATGGTGAAATGACACCATATGGAGTCTGGGAGTTCAATAAGTGGTGGGTCCGTTGCGCGCACACATATAAGTCGCCTATGAAAGTATATAGCAACTCCCCTTCCTTAACAACCCTGTCTCTTCTGACCAGAACCATATCACCTATACTGATTTCATTGTCGTCGATAGTGGGGTTTACCCACGTTTCAGTGAGAATGATTATTTTCAGTTGAAGGTGTGCTTGGAGATTTCGGAGTTCACCTACTTTTCCTCTCAGCCCACTCACATTGCTATATAGGCAGCTGATAGTGAGTCTAACAACCTCAGAGTGTTGTGGGGTAGTTGACGTGAAACTGCCTACTAGTGAGGGACTTTATGTTGGGACTAGTTGGCCGATTCCGGTAGAGCCGGCACGTTGTGGTTTTTTCCACGGATTTAGGCAGGACTCTTGGGTGACACAGACTATTATTCTCATAACTGCATCTCTCTAGTGTCGCTGAAGCTTTGGGACGTATTAAAGCCTCAACTTGCTGCCTCCTTATAGTTCAGGGTCTGCTTTCGCAGCATAGGATGTGTCCTCCCATTTTCCCTTGTTGCCATACCACCGTTGAAGCGCTATGGACAACTGCTCCGGGGAGTTGAATATGATACATAGCAGCTTTGGAGAGTTAATCAGTGTTAGATGAGCGGGACGAGGTAGTCGGAAAATGGAGATGGCTCCAGAAGCGCCAGGGGCCATCTGAGATGACAGCCATCTCCATCACTGAACGTCGTGCATGTGTTTTCCACAGGCAGTGCCGGTTTCCAGCTCCGGAAAACTGTGTACCACCATAGAGGTGGAAGGCATCAGTTCCGGTGACTCCCTCGCCATTTGTCTGATAGTCCTGGTTTTTCTTGTCTCACCTTTCTGTTCGAACTTCTGTCGATGGCTAGCACCTGAGCCATTAATAGTACTCTTTCAGCCTCTTCAGCAGAGTCCAGTGTAACCTTTAATGGGTATGGCTTACCCTGAGGCGTGTGGGCACCCCTGTACAGCCTGCACAATTTTGCTGAACTAATGTTCAGACCTATTTATTGCACAGTTTGGACCACTGTTCCTGGCTAAACAGGGCCCGTTGTTCAGGGAAGCTATCCTTGCTCACAGTTACGTTAAAGGGGATAAGAGAGTTAGACTGGCTAACCTCAGAATTGGGTTTGGCCTTTCGCTGCTTGCATTCCTTCACAGCATCAGCAACATTAGGCTTCACCAGGATCTAGCCAGCTTTTTTTGTGTTGCCAAGCTTGCTAGGGGATGCAAGTGGTGCTTTCGTAATTCTGTCTTCCCCTGATGTGGGTGCAGCCTTGTGAAAATTGGTATTTCCATTCAGTAGGACTGGTGTACCTTCTTACTGTCTATGCCAAGTTTTGGCAGTGTGATGTTAGCAGGTGTGGAGCTACATGAGACTGTGTTGGGACACAAGAGCAGCGTGTCGTTTCTGCTATCCGCAGACACGCTTTGTGGGGCTATGCCAGGGAAACAAAGTGGACAAATGTACCAAAATCCTGGGAATGGGTTATTTCTCATAAACTCATAGTATGCTCTCGGTACCTCTTTGTCACAACGGCAATGCACCCATCGTTTGCAAAAATTGCATTCAAACGCTGAGGTAGTTTTATAAACTATGATACTACACGCCTGACATTCATCTCCCTTCCTTGATGACGCCTTCGAGGTCTTATGATGTCTTGAACGTTTCCTTCTAGGTTTGTTGTGTTTCACACAATGGCATTCAATTGATGCAGGTTTAGTATCCTGTCCCCCTGGTATTGCCTGTACCGTTTCAGTACTAGACTGTGGCAATGCAGGCGTGGTATCAGGACGGACGAAAGCTACACGAGCCTTCAGGATCGGTTTGCGGGAGGGTGTTGAAGTCCCTTGGTTTTTTCCTTCTCTGACTGAGGCCCTTGTGACTAGAGTATGGTGTTTTAATGGCCTCTCTAAGGCTACTTTCGACAACCATATTAACAATCAGTATGACTTGTGCTATAAACGAATAAGAAAGCAACAGCATCTATCCAAAAGAACAAGAATAAGACTAGTACTTTCTGGATGATTGGCTTCACAGCAATCACGTGGTAGACCAACAAGTCTTGTTTATCTGAACGAGTGAGGAAGATGTTGCTACAAAAGTAGCACCTGAAGCTTTGGCAGTAGCTCGAGACAACTGGGCTTACCACACAGACATGGTTGAATTTAATTCACCGGCTAGGGAGATCAGGTTTTCCAGACGGATAATTCACAAAATTGGTATTTTCCGGTTAGAGAGAAAAGGGGTGCGGATATACGTTATAACGTGTTATATGTTCCGCGACCCGGGTTTTTTCGTCTTTCATTGGCTAGAAGAGTGGCGGTCAATTGGAGTTTGAATTGTCCTTGGGTGCGTGCTGTCGGGTGCTGTCTTGGCGTGGTTGTGTTTGCGTCGTTTGCCAGCATATGTGATGACTATAAACGTGAATTAGACTATTGTAACGCTTTGTTTTTCTTTGTTTGTGCATGTACTAGGCTTTGTTTGTCGTACAATTCGTTGTTTGGTCTATCGGTTGCTTGCGATGTCAACGAACCGGTGGGTTCTTGTGTTTTTCTGTAATTTAGGTTATACGTGCGGTATTTTCTTGATGGTTATTGATCATCCCTGTATTTCAATGTTGTTTTTTTACGATTTATCTTGGAATAGTTGTGACATAGATGGATACTAATTGATAATTTTATTTTAGTCCGTTGCAGGTAGTCAATTCGAGTGAAAGGAGCACAGACTTAAGTGGAATTTTTGGTGAATACATACTTGGAAGGCGTTTCTTGAGCTGGGATGAATTTGAGAAGTCATTAGCAGAATTTCAAAAAGTGAGGAAGTCATTTAATGCTAACAATGTAGTTGTCCTGCACTCACTATGTTCATACTTATAGCAAAACGATACCGGATGACAGATTTAAGTACGCTTATGTTGGTTTTAAATGCACTTTTGGAGTGAATCGTACAAGACCTGGATTGAAATTGAAAAATAAGTCGTAAGAAGAAGTGTATATGATTTCATGAATATTTCAGGTCTAAATGTTGCAATTGCTCGTCTTCATTTCGCGTGGTTTTGCGTAGTGGTGAATTCATAATTGCTTCCCACAATATGGTACATAACCATCCATGCAGCAGGGTGTACATGCAGAATGACCCATGGTTTAGACGACTAACAGTTGAAGAGAAAGAAAATGTTGAACCACTTCTTCAGCAATCCCACTCATCCGATGAAATAATAATGCATGTTAAGGAGAAGTACCACAAGGATATAACTCGCATTGACGTTAAAAATATGAAAGCCGCAGTTAATAAAGGTAACGTTGACGTACTTGTTACATACTTAAGGTATTTCGAGTCGTCGTGACATTTTTGAATTCCTAAAATCCCGTGGGAAGTTAATGGAGTATTATTCCGATGAACCGATCAGGAATTCACTAACAAGAATTTGTTTTGCAACTTATGAGCAAATGGAATTGTATAAACAGTTCCCTGAAGTTGTTGGTATCGACTCGACGTATAATACAAATAAGGGGAAGTTTACCAATTCATTAATCAACGTGCAGGTATTCTTTGTTCCAATTACTTGTGACGGATAATTTTGGTCGTGGACGACCAGTTTTATTTGCGTGGACTAGAAAAGAATTCAAACGAGATGTAGTTTGGATATTAGACTGTTTTCGTCAAATAATGGAAGACACCTCCAAAACAGAATCTTTCATTATGGATTGTGCGCAAGCTGAAATAGCAGCCGTCAAGTTAACGCACAGACAAGCGCACATTGTTTTGTGTTCTTTCCATGTTTGCCGAGCCTTCTGTCGTAAAGTAAGTTTTTCAAAGCACACTTTACATTTTATTCGTAGACAAGAAATCCCATTGTGAAGAACTACTTATGCCGTCTAGTGCAGTGTAAAAGGAGATCAGAGTAATGCCTTTAATGTTCTCATTTTCCAGATTTAATTTCTATTTCAGAGTTATTAGCAGATTGGATGCTACTGTCAGTCAATATCTACAACGTCGTTGGATGCATCGACGAGAATTGTGGGCAGCATGTTTCAGAGACAACGTGCTGACTTTTGGGAATGATACAAATAATCGCGTCGAGAGCTCCCACAAGCAAATGAAACGGTACTTGCAAAGATCTGATAGTCTGCATAAAAGTATGCTGAAGGTGTATAAATGGTATAAACGAAGTTTTTCAAGAATACAGCAGGAGGCGATTATTGCTCAGTCGCGATGCTTCACTTATCCCTGTTCACAACGTCTAATCCCAATTATACGATTGCTGACGCCATACGCCGCGAGGAAGGTAATACGTGAATACGAAAGGCGACGATGGGCTATTGTTGAGTTTGAATCCTTTGATTATGTATTCTTCAAAGAAAATGGGAATAGAGTGGAGGTTGATCTGAGTGCTTGCACCTGCACGTGCTTTACATTTCAGACCTGTCGGTACCCCTGCCGACACTTGCTTTTGGTCCATTTCAGAAAGCCGTATTTCACAGGTATATTTGCGTTTTTATGACTCCGTTTTTAATTTATGTCGACCGAAATTTAATTAATTAATGTTCTTATATACGGAAAGTTGTAATTTTCATTAACCTATTCGTGTGTACATTGCCTTAATTGGAAACAAGACACAAGCACTACCATCATTGCACGTGTAATATTCAGTTCATAGTTATCTTTACGTTTTTTGTTTCACCTTTTGTAGTTAACCATGTGATGCAGAATTGCAAACAATGGGCGTGGTCACGCAACTTGTTCGCATCTCAATGCACGTCAGCTGTTGTCCCTCGAAATCGAAGTGCCCCATTGGAAACCTATATAAGTATTATGAAAACGGGCATTAGGAAAATTAATGACAAATTTGGAGAAGTGTTTGCCAGGAATTATTCAGTAGAAGTAATCGCAGGAATCAATCGTACTCTGAATATGTAAATAAACTGAATTTGTATCATAATTAAAATAAAATTTTCATGTCAATCTTATTGTCTTTCAATTCATGTGTTCCCTTATTGAGCACGGCATGCTAGACCGGTGCTCTCTAGGACTTTAACTATACGTAAGTGTAATTGCGTAGGAACGATGTCGGTCGTCATACGTGTTAAATTATAATTATTTTAGTGAAGTTACCTGGATACGTCTCATAGTCATATGGAGGTCTTTAGGGACAAATGACAATAGTAGGCATAACTTAGGCACTGCATTCGAGTTCCAGTTCTTATACGGTTACGTGTATTCTAAAGTATTGCATTACTAATGTTTCACTTAAAGCGTGATGTCAATCCATATGACTAAGGCTGTTAACATGTAGCGTAAATTGAAGTCTACACGAGACAAATTATTGAATTCGTTCAGCTTTAGCACTCGTAGTTAGATTTACCTTACACTAATATATGCCACCAATTACTTCGTCAGGTCTCATTAATAAGTCGCGCCTGCATCTAGTCATCATGACAAATATATCTACAATCAGATAGAATAACAAAAGGTCTGGTAAGCAGGATGTTAAATATATTTAATCAAAAATAATAACAAGCAAATGTCTTTAAGTATTTCTTTGTCGTAATAATTTGGGCGATGTGACTGGGTTGACTGACGTTACCGCATATCTGCAAAAAATTAAACAAAGAAGTAATATTAAAGTTAAACGCTTTAGATTTGCCTACCTTTGCTGAAAATGGTTCATTCTCCTTTCTCATTCTTCGTTCATGACAGCATTCTTCTGTGGTTTTTACTGTCACACATATCGTTCATCTTCTAAAGCATAGCAGCAAGCAAATAATAATAATTAGAACAGGTTATGATAAGAGTTAAATTGTAAACCCTTCACAATGAACACTGTACATTTGGCTAAGTGCTATGTCCTTGAAATGTTAGTATACATTTGCAATGTTTAATGCCAACCATATCGGTGTAAGCATAGAAAATATGACGTTTTCCATGAAAATACAGCTTTGTTCAAACACTGGTGCTGTTGTGTTTCTAACAAAAGCAACTAGACTGTAAGCAAGCAACTAATAGGCACAAAGAGTGAGTCTCAGCTTTAATAAAGGCATATCCAGTTAAGATAAAATGTAGTGTAATAGTGCACAAATGAAAATACCATCGTGAAGTAGATAAGTGATATTTCAGTGACAGGTAAATTAAAACATCTGAAACCTTACAGTTCGTAAGACAACCTGACATGTAAGATCTCTCACAAATTTCTGTATGGCCTGTGAGGTACCATGGATGGTTTGCCGTCAATCTGAGGTTTGGAAGGATGATTTACAAATGCAAAAGGTAATAATCATCGAAACTGAGGTAGTATTTTCTAGCATTTTTTCCTTTGATGCAGTTCCTTATCAACAGTTTGCAGTTTTCATAGCGACTTTATAGGAACCTTCATTGTATCATGATTTTCACCAAATATCCCTTAACTCACAGAAGCAGGCAATAACCCCATACACTCAAGCATTGTAACCAGAACATCACAAAATGCTTACAGATAACTTGTTTAGTAATAACTGCTTTAAATATATGGGTTATAAGTGCATCTTCCATATCTTTCATAGCCACAATTAAGTCATTAAGGATCTCAGAATATCTTAGTGATCTGAAACAAAATAATTATTAAGATTAATATAACCTATGTAACAGGTGTAGTAGTTGTATGACACAGCTGCTAGCTACTAATCAGCAGAAAGCTGATACTCATTTTAACTACTCTGACATTAAGTACTCTGCCATTGCCTGTGGTATATTTACGACCTTAAGATCTGAAACAACTTGCGAAAAAAACCCTCAACGCACTATAATGCAAATAATAGCCTTTCTATGCGAACTTTCTTAAACAGGATGACTTCTTTATTGATAATACGTCCGATCTATAATATACAATTTTACATATGATAGAGAAGATTTGTAGCTCAGGTGGATGATTTTGATGTGGTTTTGTTCTCTGAGCTGGATGGTTAGTTTGCGAAGCTTTCATCACCTTACTGGGTGACATCTTCAGCGCATACTTCAATTTGAACAAAACCACATCAAAATACAATTTTACGCTTTACTACGAACAAAATACTGCCGTCTGGCTCCAGAAGTCTAAAACTAGTCAAATATGATCTATTTCCAAAAAAATAGGCGATTATAACGCATGTTGCCGTGAACGTGGTAACCGATGGCGTTGCGCGATAACACCTGGTTATAGCCTATATCCCCACACGAGAAAAGAGCATGTCGTATTCAAGGAGCGCGCTATAGAGCAGATTTTAACTTATATCTCTTGATATGACTATGAGCAATACATTTGCTGGAAATGCCATAAGTAAATATTACTGTATAACACTGTGAGATTTCATCAAAGCAAACCTTCTCCACATAAGAATTATGTTGCGTCACAGTGTCCAACCAACACAAGAGAATAATTATTAACGTCCTGCGGTGTCAGGTGAAGTTCAAGACCTAAGGACTACTACACTATTTATTTATTGTTGCTGTCTTGTTTCATAGGTAGAACTATGACCCAGTAAAGAGTATGTTCACTGTTTCTTGATGCATTCTGGATAAGCGACAGCTCCAAATGTCAGACTTTGATTCAAATTCACGTGGTACTTAACATAGGCCTTCTGGTGGTATAAAACTCTTTCAATGAGTGTAAAGTGGTTCATGGAAAGTTTTCAAATTCATAATTAAGAATCAATGTGGATCTATGTGATGTTCAAGGGACTGCTTGTTTCTAATAGTCAATATAGATGACCTGTAATCTTTCCACCGATGCGCGAATTTAACATCTTTTTACACATCCTTTTTCTTCCATATTTTTCTTATGTTAATGCATTTTATAATGTGACTGACGATATTATATTTGACCTGAAGTGGTCTGGTAGTCCTATTAAATCTCGAGAGGTACTTTGTGTTCCTCAATAATAATTGTGATAGGAAAGTGATGCAGTCGAAATCAGAACAACTGTTGGGGAAGATTATGAATGTGTTATACCTACGTTGCTGCTTAAAACAAACGAAAACGGCCGAAAAAGCTCAGATTTAGTGGATGAAGAAACTATTTTACAGCCTTTATTTACGGAACAACCATGTAGTATCAGATCTGAATCATACTGGAGTTATGAACTCTGTCATAATCAACATATAAGACAGTTTCATGAAGAAAGAAAACTGAAAAAGGTTTGATATAAAAAATTTAATACAATAACCGACAGAGTTTTTCAGTTCAAGAGTTTTATTTGGGACATTATGATCCAAGTATGTCAACATGTTCTTTTTTTCCTAAATAGTTAATTGGCTAGGTCCGAAAATAGAGAAGGGTGCTCATAAACAAGACGTATGTTTACAATTTATACACATACATATTCCTGTAGTACGATGCACCAAAAACAGTTACTTTAGGCGAAAACTCCTACCCTTATTATGAAGTCAATTATATTGATGGGACCTTGTGTGATTTGATTCAGCAGCATCGTTCAACAACGGTTATGTATATATGTCATGAAAGTATTGGTGGTCAGATTGTAGATATATCTGAGATTCGGACGTGTCAATACCAAGTGGTCTTTGCCACAAAACTTCTTTGCTCACATCCTATGTATAAGGTATGCTTTGTAAAATTTTCCTGTTTTACTTTTGTTTCACTGTTTTAACTGAGAGACTTCTGGAAATATCTACTTAGTAGACAAATACTTCTGACACTGGTTCATTTTGTACACCATATCTGGGTTGAAGTTTGTTTGAGTTATTCTAGAATAACTTCGTAATCTGTGGTTTTGGTGTACTTGTCATATCGTCTTAAGAATAAGGAATCTTCCCAAGCTTACAACAATTTCAAACTTATTCTAACCTCTTCTTCGGTAGTGCCTTTTTATCGTTAATGAAGATTTTATCTACTCACTATGTTCTGAAGTAAGGCTGGTCCGTGCTTAGTATGTCCTGTAAGGGCTGGAAAACAACGCTGACAAGCAAACCCTGTAGTTTCAAATCTACTCCTAAATATACCTAGAAAAACAACATGGTGCTGAATTAGCGCCAGCTATGCTGAAAACCTGCACTGAGTTCTAGTCTATGACATTAAAGAATCCATTTCAGAACAGATTCAGAATTTACTCACTATAGGATGTCAGAATTATTTCAGAATTAGTGTGCGTCGGTGGCATAGTGGTTATGACTCTCGCCGACCATGCACATGATCCGGGGTTCGATCCCCTGCCGGCGCACACCTGATATTTATGGTCGGCCTGCAAAATTTGGGCTACCAATATCACATGCTGAAAATTCCATACTTGTACCAAAAAATTACGGTGTGGAATCAAGCCGAAATAAAGAAAAAAGTTCGGGTTATCAAAGGAAACCGTAGAAAATAAATTAATGATACGAAACTGGATCTATAGTGTTTATCTTTTCACAGTAGATTACGAAGAAGTAAACGTACTAGTAGAATGACGTTGGAAGGACGCGCCTGTAGTTTAGCATCTAATATACGAAGTACCAGTTTGAAGTTCATTTTTTTATTGAAATTCGACTTACCCGATATTGTCAGGTCATGCATAATATATATGTTTGGCTCACAGATGCTAAAAATGCAAGTGATCACATTTGCATTTTATACAGTGATAGTGATTGGATGTTTCACGACACGTGATATTTAAACTTTTACTAATGATTCTTCTTAATTGGCAATTTAACTATTTAAAGGAAATATTTATCATGTTTTTATGTCATGTTATTACTGTAGCAAAAACGTGCACATACAAATGCAATTTCATGTCATTCAAAAAATGGTTCACCAAGTAAACCTATGGCATTACTTGCACTTGAAGCTGAACGAAGAAAGCTTCAATCTCAAACTTTCAGTAATCTGGCAGCTTTGCTGAGTGATGCATTCAAGTCGAAAATAAAAGTAAGGTCGCCGCATGTTTTTAAAAGAAACCTTTTTAATGTATTGCATGAATAATTTCACTCACTTGTTTTTTTGGAAGAAGGATAGATTAACCAGTTCATAGCTAGTAGGATGAAAATCCGACTCGTGCTTTGTGCTACAAAACAGGTCATTCACTTTTTGTACTGACTTTTCTTTACAAAGATGAGTTGACTTCATTTAGTCACCGTTGTTGCGTATATATCAGGCTATTGACACAAGTGCTTGCGAAAACCTTGGCACACTATCATTTAGTGTTACGTTGGTTTACACCTCTGATTGTAGCTCAAATCAGCAGTTAAAGGTTTCTTGGATTGATGCTATGCTTTGATCTGACCAGTGATATCCCTTTTCCAACTTAATTACATCTTATTTAACATTGGTTGTTGAGTACTGTGGTCTTGATTGAGCGTGCGTAATGCGTCTTAGTCATCACAGTCGATGGAGTTTAGGGATTTTATCAATCTACTTGTTCCCCTTAGTTGACACTTCTCTCCTATCCGCTGATCTTTCCTCGCCCGTCATCTGATCTTGAGTAGTATTGAGCAAAAACAGCTGTTGATGAACGTCTGTAGTTTGTTTGAGGTGCTCTTCATGACGCACAGTGCAAGTCTCTGACCCGTATGGTAGCACTAACTTCACACTGGAGTTGAAAATCCGGATCTTATTTTCCATGCTCACTGCTGAGTGTTTATATCCACACAGACTTGAGAATAATGAAAACTTGCCTTGCTTTGATATCCTCATCAGTTCCGCCTATAGTTGAAACGATGCTTCCCAGGTAGGTAGGTAGAGGAGGTTGTTTCTTTCAGATTCCTCCCATTTATGCTGGTTGATTTTTGTCTGTTGTTGTTGCTGTTGCTATTAACCAAGAATCTTCATCACCTCTGTTTTCTCCATGTTCACCTGAAGTTTTATCTTCTCTGGATGCTTCTTCTGTCGCCAACTTGTTGCTTTTCACATGCATATCTTCCAGTTTCTGTAAAGTCAGATATATATCATTGGTAAAATCCAGATCCTCCAAGTTTCTTTTTGTGTGGGTCCATTTGATGCCTGTTTCCTCGTTGCCCGCCGCTGTCTGTCGTATTATCTAGTCTGATTGTGGTAGACTGGGTAATGGGGCAGACAGCAGTGGGCAGCAAGGAAACTGGCATTAAATGGACCCACACAACTGTCATTTCCTCTTCACGCGGTCTTCTTCATGTAACCCTTGAAACCACTCCCAACTGATTGTTTCACATTCGAGTTCTAATCAGATACTTGGCTCGTATATCTGAGTGATAGGTTCTTAGCTGGTTCGTTAAGTGAGTTCCTGGTTGCTAGTCCTTTCCCGCCAGTTGTCTGATCTCTAGTATTGAGATAAAAGAGAAAGCTCTTGATGAAAGTTTACAGTAGCTTGTCGGAAATGTTTTCAGTGAGTCGAGCACCATGTGTATAAACCATATAGAAGCGTTAGCTGACTTAACATCATCAGTGTTAGAAATCTGGATCTTGTTCCAGTAACTAAGTGCAGGAGATTTCCATACTGATATCAGATTACTGAATGTCTGTCCTGTCTTCTTCATCGTGACTACCTTTGGCATCTTCATCTGTTCTGCCTAGATAACTGAAAGAGATGACTTCCTTTAGACTTGGTGCTTCTTTGATGATATTAGATAGTTGGAGGCAATCGACAGGAAGCCTTGGATCTATGTTTCTTGCTAGTTGATACTCGTCAGCAAGGCGTATCTGCAACCTTGAAGGAACTCATGTTCCTTCTGAGATTCGAACCCGCGTCACCCAGTGTCGGCTGCAGTTAGAGACGTTACCACTGAGCTATTCAGGCTGGCTGGCGACTGGTCTCCTGTAGGACCTGTAAGAAAGGACTAGATACGTCACACTAGTTATTAGTGTCCAATCAAAGTATTGATGCTTCTTTATTGGTCAGTGCATATCTTCATTACCTATGCCTTCTATATGTCCACTTGAAGTCCCGTCTTTGCTGTCTGCTTCTTCTACCAACTTGTTAGTTATCCTCTGTAGGTTCTCGTGTTCGCGTGACGTAAAGACACAAATCATTCAAATGCTTTAGAGTCTTCCAATAAACATTGAAGAGACATTTGTAATTTGTGCTTTGAACTACTTACAAGATAAAAGAAGTAATTCATAAAAATCACTTATTATCCATATCAAACTAACAGCGATCCAGATCCAATTAAATCCACTAAGTTAACTCCGCTTGAATGCATTGAAAGTTATTCAGTAATTAGGATAGCAATTGACTTCTAGTGTTGAAGATTTATTGTAAACTATTTACTTATAGTTAGTTCATGTAAGTCTTTTCGCATATGCATGTATGTTTGCGTATATTGTGTTCTTTGTGTGTGTGTGTGTGTGTGTGTAAATGTCACCACATGTTCTCATTTTTATATTTAGTTTGTGTGTTATTAGTATATGACAGTATCAAAGTTAAATATGGTTATTGTTGTTGTGTTTTTTTTCTATGTGGGTGTACTGGTTATTTTATTATTTGGTATGCATGTAAAGTTTTCTTTTGTTTTTGTAAAGCACAAATTATATTAGTCCATGGTTAAAGGACGCAACACTGATTTCCTTTTTTGTATGACAACTAAAGACACTAATCAGGTTTTTGAACTTTTGTATATGGAGTAGGATTTGAACTGTTAAACTCATCCATGAATATACCGACTATCTGACTGACTTTTAACATAGAACACTTAGCACAAAAGTATAGCGGTTCATGTTGTCACACTCTATATGGTACACAAAGGCATAATTTTGTCGTAGTAAGATGAAGTAAGACATAAAAGTGAGTTTTTTACTTGCTGAATCACATGTTAAATTCATCCTTAAATGTTACGCATGCCTAGTCATCGCCTTCCTCGACAGCAGACAATGTTAGCTGATAAAGGGTTAGGTTGGAAAAGAGCTAGTGGTGGTCAAACCTAAACATGACTTTATCAGTCAATAAAATCCACAAAAGTTAGTTTAAGCCACGTAGGAAGATGTAGACTTCCTGGTTGGGGTCCTCCGATGATATAGCTCAAAATCATTCTCAATGGCCGGCGCAGATGCATCCACTCCTTGTGACTTATAATATCCAATAAAACTATATCGTTCTTCGAAGTTAATTTGTGGATGGTGACTAGCAATGGAATCCAGAATAACGCGCATTTCGTCTTATTTGGGACTCCTTAACCAGCTGGATGTACCTGCATTCTGGAGTGAGTGATGACGTTCTCACCGAGACTCGAATCCAATGCCCATAGTTTCAAACGCCAATACGTTATCCCCTAGACCACTTGGACCACGAGAGCCACCTTTTTTTGTGCAACAGATCATATTAATTATTGAATTCAATTTTAGATTTTCTCATTGAAATACGCATCCTGGATTCCACTGCTAGTCACCATCCAGAAATTAACAATTAATGAGTCACATCTTCGGCACTGTGGTAGATAGATAAGATTTTCTTTTGATAAATCACACAGTGTTGTGTTATACAGTAATTATTAACTGATAACCACGTTTCGAGCACAAATTATTGGTACTCATAATCATATCAAGTGTAAGTGACTTGATATGATTATGAGTACCAATAATTTGTGCTCGAAACGTGGTTATCAGTTAATAATTACTGTATAACACAACACTGTGTGATTTATCAAAAATGAACTCTTATCTCTAATGGTATCACATCTTCATCAGATGTTTTTTCTCAAAATTGATTTTTAGTTCACACGGGGTTCAGTAATGGTGATTATAATGACGATAATGGTGACAACAACTCAAGTGTATGTAAAATTTCTTCATTACTTTAGACTGAGAGAATTACAGGGCTTCAAATGTTAAAGTCTCATATTTCAGTTGTTTCATGGTGTCGTTGTCTTTTACGGGGTAATGGGATTGTGGTAGCCTTCCGCTCAACCTTCTCTCTCTCTCTCTTTTCTGGGCTTACTTATTTATCGATTAGTAAACTAAATGAGGTCTAAAAAATTGTGTCGATTAGGAATCGAACTCGGAGCTAGTGGTGTGACTGCTGAGCATTCTATTATTGAATCAACGAAGCATCAAGTGTATATATTGTCCTCATTCTTGTTTTTGTTAATTCATCTACTTATCACTTTGTATTCTATTATTATTCAGTATTTTTTTTCATATTCACTAGCTTATTGTTCTTTATCTATTCTTTTCTGACCTTCTAAGGCCTTAGAAGCAGTTAGAAAAGAACTAACTGCGGATCCTCAACAATTTTCTGACCTTCCTTATGATTTTTTTTGGTAGTGGTAGGCTTTCTTTGTTTACCATTTTTAAAAAACTATTTTCATTGTACTATTGAATATGTTGAAACATTCAACCGTTGAAATATAAACAAACATTGTTGTATTTAAGTATTGCTTTGTAGGGATTTGGTTGATTGGTTACAGGATTTCATTATGAGCTGAAATTAGTTAGAGAACTATTGGAAAACCAACTGAGAGGAGTACTAGACAGCTGTTTTGTCCTAGTTTGGGACTCTTCAGCAGTACACACTCACCGAGATTTGAACCCAGGACCTTCTGGTTACAAGGCCAGTGAGCTCGTAGACCATTAAGCCACTGGTTGCCATATATCGTGAATTGGCAGAAGTTAGAATTCATGGACTGGCCATTGGATCGGGTCCCAGTGGCTTAATGGTATACGAGCTCGCTTTGTAATCAGAAAGTCTTGGGTTCGGATCCCGGTGGGTGCGTACTGATGAAGAATCACAAACTAGGACGAAACAGCTGTCCAGTAATCCCGGTTGGTTTTCCAATGGTTCTCTAACTAATCTCAGCTCATGATGAAATCCTGTAACTAAACATTGTTGCATTCAATTCAATCTTCTTCCGACTTTTCTCTAATTTACATAGATTTATATATTGAAAACATTTTAACCAATGGTGGTGATTTTGTGGGTCAAATAGTAATAATAATCCTCAGTTTTGTACCAATCCGATACGAAATCAATTTGGTCAAAGGCCTCATGAATAGAGCAAGATGGATCTGGACAGATCACTCCCTAGAAAATGAGTTACGATACATCCAAAATACGCTGGTCTAAATGAGTTATCCTAGTAGATTTTTAAGGAGACGCATGAACATTGGGTATAATAAAGACAAACTGATAACCGTTAAAAAGAAACAACTCTCCGTAAAAGTTGCAATTTAACGGGGACGTGGCTAGTAGGGAAGTCTTATATCTAAGATTATCGAGAGCAATAAAACGGACTTATACTGCCACCACCACCACCACCACCACCCTTTGTTTGTCATTTTGCAGCTGCCGACTAATTATGATTGCTCAAGCGAAAGACAAGCTACCTACCTAGCTGTGCCATTTTTATGTGTATTTACAAATTTAGTTGCTTCTGTGGAGAAAGCTGGCTGTATAGACAGTTTAACAAACGCATTTATGAACATCTTTCTTCATGGTTCGGAAAAGGCCGAATAAAATCTATAAGAAGTTCTATTTTGTTTCATTTGATTGATGACAGAGGTCATCAAGTGGACAGAAGAAGAAGTGCCTTCAAAGGTCCTTATCTATCGAGATTGCATCAAGTCTTTCGAACCCGCCTGTCAAACACATAGCCGAAGCTATGGGAATTAGTTTGAGAGAACAATCCTAGTCTTTGCATACGACTAAAGAAGTTTGTTCTATCTCTGTCTCTGCCTTGCTTGCCTAGGTGAATTCTTATTAAAAAAAACCTCTCCCCCTTCTTATTCCTCATATTTTTCGTAATTTTATGGTATTCACTTTAACTCTGATTATCTTTCCGCTTCACCTCTAGTATTATACAACTTGGCCTAGGTAAAGTCTAGTCAAAATCCTCCCACCCTTTCTCATTTTTATATCTCCTTCGCACTTTTATAATATCTATTTAAACTGTGATTCGAACCCAGGACCTTCCGGTTACAAGGCTAGCGAGCTCGTATACCATTCAGTCACTGGGACCCGGTTCAATTAATGGCCAGCCTATGAATTCTAACTTCTACCAATTCGTGATTTAGCGCAACTCCAACCATTATCGTTGGTGGGACATCCATCCACACATGTGGCATCTAATTGAACCTTACTGGTCACGACTTCTCACTAGAACTCAGGAAACTCCAACCTGTAGTAAGTTACTAGCGAGCATCAGATTAATTTTCTATAGTTTGGTTTGTAAGAGTTAGTTTTGTTTTTACAAGTTGATCACGGATTGATATTAGTTAGATCAACTCGTAAAAACATAACAAACCATTACAAACCAAACTATAGAAAATTAATCTGATGCTCGCTAGTAACTTACTACAGGTTGGAGTTTCCTGAGTTCTAGTGAGAAGTCGTGACCAGTGAGGTTCAATTAGATGTCACATGTGTGGATGGATGTCCCACCAACGATAATGGTTGGAGTTGCGCTAAATCGCGAATTGGTAGAAGTTAGAATTCATAGGCTGGCCATTAATTGAACCGGGTCCCAGTGACTGAATGGAATACGAGCTCGCTAGCCTTGTAACCAGAAGGTCCTGGGTTCGAGACCCAGTAGGTGTGTACTGTCGATGATTTCCAGACTAGTGTGGACGAAACAGCTGTCCAGTACTCCCTGGCTGGTTTTCAATGGTTCCCTAACTGATATCAATTCGTGGTCAAACTTGTGAAAACGAATCTAATCCTTACAAACCAACTCTTAAAAGTTATTATTATTATCATTTGATCCACAAACTCGTCATTGGTTAAAACTTTTTATATATAAATTTATGCAAATTAGAGTAAAGCCTAAAGAACATTTAATTGAAAACAGCAATATTGTTCGCTGATTATATATCTCGTTCTAATATTAATAATGGGAATATTTAATGATTTTTGTATTCTACATTATGGAAAAGTTAATTTTAGCTTCATTACTATTTTATTGTGAATTTTTTCTCTATCGACGTATTTATCTTTCTCTCCCCGCCCCCCCTCCTTTAGGTTACGGCGAAACGTGAGAAGGATGTGGTCCTGTATCAGGTACAATCTACTGAAGATGTAAGTTCAGTAGACTGTGTTATATTTTGAGTCAATATATTTTCTTATGTCTATAGTCTAGTAATGGCGGATTGCATTGCATCCGTGTAGATTTTTTCACGAACAAGCCAACGTAAAGTGGAGAGTACTAAACAGTTCCATGTCCGCACACAGACTCCAACGTGAACTCAGTGCTACTATACGGATAAGAGACACACCAAACAAAAGAGAACAAGCAAAAACATGCCACGTGTGACCGGCCTCAAGCAGTTGTCCCCTGGGCTCTGCGGTCACGCAACCAACTTCCATGGTGTGGGCAGCCGGGAAGTAACAATCGCCCTCACAATCCGAAATGCACACAAAACCTCTCTAATCCTCACTTATCTTTGTCTTCATCTCCATTGCCTTGTCTTCCTCCCACTGATACAACTCCTCTACTTGATGGCTCCTCACTCCCTCTTCACTCTGTGTCCACTAAAAACGACAGAAGCCAAAAAACCACCGATCTCTGGCGTAGGCGTGACATCCGGCCATCAACCAAGGGACGTGTGTACTGGTCACCAGTTCGCTCCGTCCTTCTCTGTGACTCTGAAACATGGCCAATACGAGTTGAAGACATGAAAAGGTTGACTGCTTTCGATCATAGATGTCTGCGATCTCTGTCTCACGTTAGGTGGTTTAATAAGGTAAGTAATGTTGACGTTAGGCGTAGAGTGTTGGGCAAAGAGGGAAAATCAATCGACGAGGCTATAAAGTTACATAGATTGAGATGGCTAGGTCACGTGCTGCGCATGCCTAAACATCGCCTCCCCCGACGGGCATTACTAGCTAGCTGATATAGGTGTAGGTTGGAAAAGAGCCAGTGGTGGCCAAACAAAAACATGGCCTCATCAATCCATGAAATCCTTGACAGTTAAACTGAGTCAGGTAGGGAGATGCAGACTTCCGGGTTGGGGCCCTCGGGTCTGACTCTAGGAATCAATGGCTGGAGACAATAGATGAGTGACATGGCTCAAAGTGATCGTTGTCAATGGCCAGCGCAGATGTATTCAGTCTCTGTAATCTTTCATATTCCTCTCTACCATCACCCATTCTGTTTCACTCTTATACTTGTCAAACTCTTTTGATTCTCTCCAATCATCTTCTTGTCTACTTTTGTGTGCTATTTGGGACGTGGCAACTCGAACTGGTGCACTTCGGTGCCAAGTTCTATGTTGAATCCAGACAGACAGACAGATAAGAGACTTAGAGTGTCATAAAAGGCACCTCAAACAAACTACAGATCTTCATTAACAGCTGTCTTCGCTCAATACTCAAGATCAGATGGCCAGAAAAGATCATCCATAGGGATCTCTTGGAATGAGCGAACCAACCTAGCAGGAACGAATTGTGCAACAAATAAGCAGGAAGAAATGGAGATGGATTGGCCATACTCTGAGGAAACAAGCAAGTAACATCACTAGATAAACCATCACTCGAGTGGAACCGGAAAGGCAAGCAGCGAGTTGGTCGTCACTGTGAGGGTGACTTGGAGGAGGTCATGTGAAGAGGAGATGAAAGCATGTGGGCAGACGTGGAGCCAGGAGAAAATTCTAGCAGATAGGCGAACGCAATGGAGACGTGGGGCTGAACCCCTATGTTCCTCTAGGGACTAAAGGAAACAATAATAATATAATACTGAACAGTTGTTTCCTCCCAGTTTGAGACTCTTCAGCCGTGCATATCCACTACCACTACACTCAGCGATCGAACATGGAACCTTCAAGTTAAGAGACTGTCTCATTAACCATTCAGCCTAATTCGGCCTGGTTAAGCAGTGTTAGTTATATAACTGAGTTATCTTGGAGGAATGTTTCATGTACTACTACTAGATTATAAGTCGCGACACTTTATTTCTGTGATTATTGATCATACTATTCGAAATGTCAACAGTGCCATCGCCAGGCATCTCCTCAACACGGGTGTCACGAGGTGGACGTCGAAAAGTCGTTCAAAATTATCAATAGGCAAAAGAGCTCAATTCTCCTTAAGTCTGCTGAAGCGATTTCAATCAAGCGCCTGAAACCTGATTTATGCGTCCAGAAAGAAGCGGTTATCAGTCTTTCCTTGCCCACCCTGGTAACTGTATATTTTCACCTCTCTTTCCTCCGAATGTGAAATGCTAAAAGTTTCCATTGTATTTGATTATTATTGTTCGGAATAGTGGTTAATATTGCATATTTATATATGTATATATTTTTAGTGTATGAGTATATTGATCGAATGATTTTTGTTTAAAATGGACTCTGTGGAAGTATGTTAAAATTGTTGTTGTAGATATATTTAATAATGTCTTTGCCATGTAAGCAGCCAGCTGACGAGAAGGCAACGAAATAAACAATGATGGTACCATTTTATTCTGCTAAAACTGTAGCCCTTGCTTTGTTCAAATTCATTAAGGGGAATAAATGTATAAAGACACCGAATATTTTAAGTCCGGGGAAAATTAGTCAATAAGAAATACAAAAGTTGAATTAAACGAGCAGTATATAATACTTGTTGAATAAGAGGCGGCTGTCACCACCCAAAAGGCCTAGTGGTTACCGTTGTGGCGTTTGAAGAGGTGGTTGTTGACTGGGTTCAATTTCATATTAGTTTGTTTATTAGATGTATTACACATAGAGTGAAACAGTATTATTAGTACAGGATGATGACGTTTCGAACAAAATATATATTTGTTGTTCATAAGCATATCAATTGTGTAATCACACGACTTCGAAACTTGAATTTTATAGTTTTCTTTGTCCTGTCCTATTTTTTGTAGGCGTGGTAGTAGAATTTTCCAGATATCTGGATGGACAGGTAAAAGTATAAAACAAAATAATACAATTTACAAAATACCTTTCAATGACTGTGAGTGAGGTCAACTACATAGGTCAAACTAGTAGGTCAGGGGTAGTCAGATTGTCGCAACATAAGAATTTAGCTAAGGTAAGAATGATTGACCGCGAGAAGATAAGTAATTTAGAAGAAAGCTCAGCAATTGCTCTGCATGCATAAATACACAACCACACAAAAGGGTGGGTGGGAGAGGGTTAAACTTCTAAAAAGTAATCTAGGTTGGTGGAGAGAGAGAGAGGGATTGATTACTTTATTCTGGTTCATCGAGTCTACACCCAACACATGCAACAGAAATTACTGAACGCAAATACCAAAGATATGGAAGATATTATCACCACCAGTCAGTCAGTCAGTCAGTCGAATCAGAAGAGGATAATAAATAATCGTAAAATTCTATTTCAATTCAAACACATCACAATATTCTAACAAGTTACTTATTATGACTATAAAAACACTCGTCTAATTTCCCATCTGATTGTATTTGATTGATATTTATTTTTGTTCAAATTTCGAATCAACTCCATTCATGTATATAAATGAAGCAAGAAAGTTGTGTGAGTAGTGCCTTGATATGATTATGATTGGCAATAATTTATGTTCGAAACGTGTGGTTATCAGTTAATATAACTGTATAACACAACACTGTGTGAATTATCAAAATAAAATCTTATCCATAATGGAGTTATCTGGGACAGGTGTTGAATCATTCCTATTACACGTGTTGATTTGCAGTTGATTCGATAAACAAAGCTTCCGCTGTCATTAATCTCTCCTCCTACCCTGTTACATTAGATTTTAAAACTGTCATCTTATCCCATCCTATTGTATGGTTATGTGTAACTGCATGTAGTGCTATAACTGAACTATTCTCTGTCTGTCTGTTTTCGACATAGAACTTTGCACAAATGTGCGGAAGTTCAAGTCGCCACATTCCGTGTAGCACGCGAAGCAAGAGAAGAAAGTACAAGAAAAGCATAATAGAAACAATGAGCAGAGGTGTGAGACAAAGGAGTAATAAAGAAATACAAAACAGTTTCATTGGAGATCATAAGTCACAAGGAGTGGATGCATCTGCACCAGCCACTGAGAACGGTTTTGAGCCATGTCACCAATTGTTTCCAACCATAGATTTTTGCCGTCCCGAGGACCCCAGCCTGGAAGTCTACACCTTCTTACGTGCCTTACACCAACTGTTGTGGATTTCATTGACTGGTGCAGCCAAGTTTTTGTTTGACCGCCGCTAGCTTTTTTCCAGCCTGACCCTATATCCGCTAACATAGCTCGTCGAGGGAGGCGATGACTTGGCATACGTAACACATGTCCTAACCATCTCAGTCGATGTAGCTTCACGACTTCGTCGATTGATTTCCCCTGTTTACCTAGAACTCTACGCCTAACCTCCATGTTGCTCACCTTATTATGCCACTTTACACGGGAAATAGAACGCAGGCACCTATGATCAAAGGCAGCTAGTCTTTTCATGTCTTCCACTCTGAGTGGCCAGGTCTCACAACCATAAAGGAGGACGGAGCGGACTGATGAGCAGTACACCCGCCCTTTGGTCGATAGTCGAACATCTCGTCTACTATTCTCTAGGTTATAATTGATATGATTATGAACAGTAATACATTTTGTTCGAAACCTCATCATGCGGTAAATAATACTGTTTTACTCTGTGTGTGTGTGTGTGTGATATATATCTAATATACAAACTAATATGGAATTACTTACTATCACAATGCCCTAGTTTCACACATATATTAATATAACTGGATTCAAGTCTCAGTGAAGAAATCATCCATAACCTAATTGGGGATTACAGGTGTACATCCAAATGACGAGTCCCAAATAGTACAAAGCAGACATTTAGAGAACCATTGAAAAACAAGGAGTATTGGATAGCTATTTCATCCCACTAGTTTGAGATTCATCGGGAGTAGTAGTCACCTACTGGATGTCGAACCTAGGACCTTCTGGTTACAAGCAGATAAGCTCGTATACCATTCAGTTCTCCAGTGACTTGTTACAGGACGAAGTTGTTTGGAGTTCTAGTGAGAAGGCGTGACCGGTGAGGTCCATCCAATCGGAAGTGAGGATAGGGTTCTAGCTGATGAAATTGATTGGAATGGATCGCGTTAGATATATATAATGAATTGGTAGAGGTTAGAGTTCATGGGTTGACGGCTATTGAGTTGGGTCCCAGTGACTGAATGGTATACAAGCCTGTCTTGTAACCAGAAGGTCATGGGTTCGAACCCCAGAGGGTTTATACTACCGATGAGTCCCGAACTAGGCTGACGAAACAGCTGTCCAGTACTTTAGTTCTGGTTTTCAATGGTTCTCTAACTAATATCAATTCGTGGTTAATCTGAAACAAATAGAATCGCTATAAACTGATTCTTGAAAGCAGACATCTTTAGTTCTGCTGTGAGCCATCAATCAACCAATAACAAAACTTATTATGTATTGTCGAGGTGACAGCTGGCTGTGAACAAGTCAAAATTGTAGACAGCAATTGACGTCAATGTTATATCCGGAATCGGGGGACATGAGAAAAAAAAACACAGGAACAAAGCTTAACCTTGAGGGGAAGTCACCAACCAATCACAGCAGACTTAACCTGTGCAAATACGATTCACAGATATATGGGCTTAACTTTCTATGAAACGGTCACTAGCAGTACAGAATAACCTCCCCCGACGAGCTATGTTAGCAGATATAGGGTCAGACTGGAAAAAAGCTAGCGGCGGTCAAACAAAAACTTGGCTGCACCAGTCAATGAAATCCACAACAGTTGGTCTAAGCCAGTCACGTAGGAAGGTGTAGACTGGCTTGCTGGATGGGGTCCTCGGGACGGTAAAAATTTATGGTTGGAAACAATTGGTGACATGGCTCAAAATCGTTCTCAGTGGCTAGCGCAGATGCATCCACTCCTTGCGACTTATGATCTTCAATGAAACTGTTTTGTTCTTCGTTATTACTCCTCCTTTATCTCACACCTCTGCTCACTGTTTCTATTATGCTTTTCTTGTACTTTCTTCTCTTGCTTGCTTCGCGTGCTACACGGAATGTGGCGACTTGAACTTCCGCACATTTGTGCAAAGTTCTATGTCGAAAACAGACAGACAGACAGAATTAGAAGACGTTGCTTCTCCGCTTACAATAATGTATATAAAAATCTATAAATATCTCTTGATTTCCTCAATAAAACGATCTGTTGCATGGCCTTTGTTTTTTTCTGTCGTTACATTGTAACAGTTATTTCAAACAAGCATTTATTCCCATGAATTTTATTATTGTTTAACTTACCGTATTTATGCTTTATTCATATTCTGTTTTTAGTTGAAAACCGATTATACTCCTAGCAAAGATATTAATAGCGGTAGTAGTGAAGAAGATAATCGGTGGTCAACTGCAGCACCAACTGCAAAGTCATCCGCCCCTGATCAACCGACTACAATAAAAACTGCAAGTGATAATCAAGTGAAAGAATTTCTACACGGTAAATTATGCCTTTCTGGTAAACTAGGCTGGTGGACACATGAAATATGCTTTAATAAGCATGTACGACAATATCATGAGGTAATTCAACTTGTTTCTATTTTTGTTCTCTTAATTTCGTGGGTACTATCTTTGTTTAAATCTGCTGGCATAATTACACTTATGATGATCTCACTTATCTGGTGGGTTTTGTATGACATTTGGATCTCAGTGATTCAAAAGTCTCTGGTTGGAATGGAATCCTTCTGTGACTTAGACTCTCATTTGTGTACTTTTATTTATTACCAATGGCAAGTTAAACTCAACTTGCATAGGACTACTACAGACTACTGATTTACTGAGATAAGTAGTTTCATTATCATTCATATCAACCAATAAGTACTTGCTAGCCGACTAGATCGATGTGATCCAAGCACTGGAGAGCCGTGTCAGCTGTTCCAGGTCGATCTCCTTAATTGTGTGCCTAGTTTGATTCACTTCAGTGAGTTGAATCAGTTCAAGCCAGGTGATGATTTGTGGCTAGTTACTTGAGTGAACTGGTAACACAAATTCAAATTCTCAATTTACATAGTTCGAGGAGGTGAAATTTCACCAATTTTTTCTTTGGGAAACGGGAATTGTTCAAATCAAAATGTCTAATCTTCTTGATGCCGAAAATGTTAACCAGGTGGTTTGAACAGATTCGACTCTTTCTGACATCGTAGTGTTGTGTTCTCTGAGCTAGCTGGTAGCTGGATGTTTTATTCGCGAAGCTTTCATTGCCTCCACCCTGCTGGGCAACATCTTCAGTGCATACACTTCAATTTGGATTGAATTAAGCTTTTATATTTCTCCATGAGTGTATTAGTCATCTCTCCTGGTGACGACATGAGCTTGAACGTGATTGGTTGTTTTTGTGTGTGTGTGTTTTCATACAGACAACTACGGACATCAATTCGACTGGGACACAATCAACGTCCAAGTATTAGACAGAAGAAACACCTAGATTGCTAGAAGTTTTTTAGAAGCCAGTCTGGTATTCCAGTGAATCGTCAATCAATAGACACATCGACATAGACAAAACTTACCAATCGATAAGAAGGAAGTCTCATACACAAAGGGTCAAACTTTAGGTCAAGGAAACTATCAGTACCAACAAAAGTACCCTAGAGGGCGTGAAAGCACACAAAATCAACAAATCCCGAGGTTCAAGGTCACCCGGAGAGATGACTAATAAACTTGTGGAGAAATAAATCTAAAAGCTCACTCCGACGAACTGAAGTATGCGCTGTAGATGTTGCCTAGTAGGGGGCGATGAAATCTTCTCAAGTATAAACCATCCAGCTAGCCCACAGAACACAACCACATCAAAATCATCCACCTGACTTACAAATCTTCTCCATCATATATGATTCGACCTTTAGACTAAGTTAAACCGGATACACTGTTGAAGAGCTTAACCTCGAACGAGCGAAACGGACGTCAGGTGCTTAGATTGCTTCGATCCGGCTGGGGCTAGGAAACACTACTGGTTGATTGATGTGAGTAGTATATGACTATTCATGCGTGAATCAAGGAAACTGTGGTGAAATTTCACCTCCTCAAAGTGACGATTCGGTTTGCGGAATTCGATTATTCTTAGAGAACTACTTACCACTGAGTATAGAAATTCTTATTGAACAAAATCTCACTTTGGTTTGTGGATTTGTAAATGACTATAAGGAGGTGATACTTCACAATCGTCTGTATTTCCCTCTCAGTTGACAGTCAACTATATCTGTAGTGTGTGTGTGTGTGTGAGAGAGAGAGAGAGAGAGCTAGTCATACTACCTGGCTGTGCAAACTCTTCGGTAGGTAAAGCGGAGTTCGAACCCTATGTGACTCAGGGATTAAAAATCGAGCACCTTGACCAAAAGATCTACAGCTTTACTATGTGTAGTTATAGTTTTATGATTATTGGATGGATCATTCATGTATCACGTAACTCTGTGGCTACATTAAGCATTTTCAGTCAGTTTATAAAATCCAATATAAAGTGAGAAAAATAGAGGTCAATCAACCGAAAATTACTCAGACAAATAGAAGGTGTAGCAGTGGGATGGATCACCAATATCCCCTATCGTAGCAGATATATGTTTATGAACAGCTGGGAAAATATTGCTCTTAACACGACATTTAATCCTACTCCAAAGATAATATGATGGAGATATATGGATGACACTTTCACACACAATGTTAAAAACAGAACATATCTATAGCTTCTTCGCACACACATGAACTCACTAGTAGAGGGAATAAAATTCACATTTGAATCAGAAAATGAACAAGCAGAATTAGCTATGTCAGAATGTAAGATATAACGAATAGAAGAAGGTAAGCTGCACACTAGTGTTTATAGAAAACCAACGCATTCTGCTAATAGATATTTAGACTTTAATTCATCTCATCCGTCGTTATCTGTCTGTTAAGGCAGGCTTAGTTAAGTGTCTTATAAACCGAGCAGTAGCACTAAGTATCACAAGAAAAGACCTAAATGATGAACTAAAACAGATAGAGGAATGGCTGGTTGGTGTTGAATAACTATCCTATAAAATTCATTAGGATGCTCAGAAAAGGTCAAAAGCAAAATAAAAAATAATGGGGAAACTAATAATGATAACATAAATAAGGGAGAATATAAGGCATCTACTGTTATACCATATAAGGTGGGGGCATCTGAGACCCTACGTAGGATTCTAAATAGCAAAGCAGGAATTAGGGTGGCATTTAAACCTACAAACTCACTCATGCAGAACAAGCTCTGTAGGATAAAGGACCTTGTAGGTTGGCTTAATTAAACAAAATAGTATAATTTACAAAATGGCTTGCAATGACTTTGAGCGATGTCAACTACATAGGTCAAAGCAATAGATCGGGGGTAGTCAGATTGTCAGAACATAAGAATTTGGCTAAGTGTAGAGTGACTGACTTCGTGAAGACAGGTAACTTAGAAAAAATCTCATCAACTGCACTGTATGCAATAAGACACAACCACACAATAGGGTGGGTGGGAGAGGGTTACAATTCTAAAAAGTAATCTAGGTAGGTGGAGAGAGAATCTGTGTTCATAGAATCTACACCCAACACAATGTGTGCAATAGGAATGATTCATCACTCATATCAGAAATATGAAGTATATTACCATGAAATCAAATCAAGAGTTGAGTGGAAATAGTGGAATCATATAAGGCAAGCTAGAAAGTTGTATGAGTAATGTCTTGATATAATTATGAGCAGCAAAACGTGGTCATCGGTAAATGTTACTGTATACCAGCACTGTGAAACTTTTGATGGTATTAGATGATTGAAGGCAATCGGCCACAGGAAGCCTTGTCTGACCTAGGTTTCGTGCTAGTTGGCACTCGCCAGTCAGCAAGGCGTATCTGCAACCTTGAAGGAACTCATGTCCCTCCCTTCTGAGATTCAAACCCGTGTCACCCAGGGCTGCAGTCAGAGACGTTACCACTGTGAGACTTTATCAAAATAAATTTTACCCATAATAGAATTATACTCTACCACAGTGCACAAGGTTTTATTCTTATATTAATGTTACTCAGAAAGTTCAAGATTCAAGTCCATTGTATGTTGAGAAAGAGTCATTGTCAGGGGGGTGTTCAGTTAGTGAAAAAAAATCAGAGATTTGAACAATTTTAGCTTTGACATTTTAAGATCGATTCTGGATTAGCATCATTTAGAAAATCATTAAAAACCACGAAGTACTCAACACCTATTTCGCCCTAGTTTGAGAATTTTCATCTGTACGCTCACATGACTCTCTAGTAGGCTTTGAACTGAAAACCCTTAGGTTACGAGGTGATTCGGTTGACTGTATATAGACATTTTAAAAGTATCTTACCGGCTGTATGAAATATACTTAAGTATTTTTTGTTCTATTGTAGAAACCGGTAAGCATAATCGATTTGTTTATACTTTATTAGTTATGAGTTATTTAGGTTGATTCATTTATATAACAGCTGGGAATACTTTTAATAACATCCAATCAATGAATTTTATGAATTCACATCCAATCCTGTTTACTATAACTTTGTTCATTCTGTGCGCAATAGATGGGATTTGTAGCTGACTCAATATTGTTGTGGTAGTCACTCCCTCTTTGATCATAGTTGCCTGCCTGCATTCTATCTCCCATGTGAAATGGTATAATAGGCTGAGCAATATTGAGGTTAGGCGTAGGTCGAGTGCTAGGTAGGTAGGTGGGAGGGGAAATCAATCGATGTAGCTGTAAAGCTATATCGACTGAGATGGTTAGGACATGTGTTAAGTGTATGCCTAGCCATCGCCTCCCTCGACATTAGGCAATGTTAGCTGAGACCCTGGGGTCAGGTTGGAAAATAGTTAGTGGTGGTGCTGGTCAAACCAAAACAAGGCTTCATTAGTCAATGAAATCTACAACAGTTAGTTTAAGCCATGTAAGAAGGTGTAGACTGTCTGAGTGACTGTTTAGCGTCCTCGGGATGGCAAACACCGATGACTGGAGACAATTGGTGATATCTGTCTGTCTGTCTGGATTCAACATAGAACTTGTCACCGAAGTGCACCAGTTCAACTTGCCACGTTCCAAATACCACACAGAGGTAGACAAGAAGATGAGTGAAGAGAATCGATCTGTCTGTCTGTCTGGATTCAACATAGAACTTGGCACCGAAGTGCAGCAGTTCGAGTTGCCACGTTCCAAATAGCACACAGAGGTAGACAAGAAGATGAGTGGAGAGAATCAATAGAGTTTGACAAATATAGGAGTGAAACAGAATGGGTAATGGTAGAAAGGAATATGAAAGATTACAGAGATTGAATACATCTGCGCTGGCCATTGACAACGATTTTGAGCCATGTCACCTATTGTCTCCAGCCATTGATTCCTAGAGTCCCGAGGGCCCCAACCCGGGAGTCTGCATCTCCCTACCTGACTCAGTTTAACTGTCAAGGATTTCATGGATTGATGAGGCCATGTTTTTGTTTGGCCACCACTGGCTCTTTTCCAACCTGAACCTATATCAGCTAACAATGCCCGTCGGGGGAGGCGGTGGTTAGGCATGCGCACCACGTGACCTAGCCATCTTAGTCTATGTAACTTTATAGCCTCGTCGATTGATTTTCCCTCTTTGCCCAACACTCTACGCCTAACGTCAACATTACTTATCTTGTGAAACCACCTAACGTGAGACAGAGATCGCAGACATCTATGATCGAAAGCAGTCAACCTTTTCATGTCTTCAACGCGTATTGGCCATGTTTCAGAGCCATAGAGAAGGACGGAGCGAACTGATGAGCAGTACACACGTCCCTTGGTTGATAACCGGATGTCACGCCTACGCCAGAGATGGTGTAAGTCAGCGAAAGCAGCTCGAGCTTTTCGGATCCGTGCTGAGATTTCATCGCCAATCAGTCCGTTGGTGCTAATACAACTTCCCAAATAGGTGAAGTGGTCAACATGTTCTATCACTTCACTCCCTATCACTAAGTTAGGAGTTGACGTGGTCCAGTCCTGTAGCAGCATCTTACATTTTGCAGGGGCGAATCGCATGCCAAACATACGAAGATTGCTGCTCAAGGTGTTCAGAAGACTCTGCATTTTGTCAGCATCCTCCCCTAACAGGACTATGTCATCTGCATATTCTAAGTCCATAAGATTATTCCCTGGTAACAAGTCGATTCCTAAGTCATTACGTTCAGTTAAGGATACTTCCATCAGCATATCTATGATGAAGTTAAACAGAAATGGGGAAAGTGGACATCCCTGTCGGACACCACTGGTTGTTACCAATTCAGATGACAATTCCCCATAAGCCCTTACACGACTACGTGAGTTTGAATAGAGTGCCTTGATTAGTGCAATGTACTTTCTTGGCACTCCCTTCACAGTCAGACATTGCCATAGTACCTTTCGATCCACGGAGTCGAAGGCCGCCTTCAAGTCAAGAAATATGACAATTGTTGGACGCCGAAAAGTGTGTCTATGTTCTAGAATCTGTCGAAGAGTGAAGATATGATCTATGCACCCTCTACCTGGTCTAAAGCCTGCTTGATTTTCCCTTGTCTGTTCCTCCCGAGTTCTGCTTAGTCTATGCATGATTACTGAGCCTAGGATTTTAGAGACTATGTTCGTTAGGCTGATCCCCCTATGATTATCACACGAGGACTTGTTTCCCTTCTTGAATATCGGTATAATAAGTGACTTACCCCAGTCTGATGGCACTGTCTCTGATTCCCAGACTTTGCCTAGTACCTCAGTTAATCTACAAACTAGTATGTCACCCCCATATTTAAACACCTCCGGAATAATTCCGTCGGGTCCTGCCGCTTTGCCTCGTTTGGTGATATGGCTCAAAGTGATTGTTCTCAATGTCTGGTGCAGATGAATCCACTCCTTGTGACTTATAATTTCTAATGAAACTATATTGTTCTTCGTTATTACTATTCTTTTTGTCTCATCTCTCTGTTTACTATCTCTATTTTGTATTTCCTTTTACTTCCTTCTCTTACTTTGTGTGCTACAAGGAGTAAGTGTGGCGACTTGAACTGCTGCACATCGGTGCAAAGTTGTTCTCTGTTGAAAACAGTCAGGTAGTCACTCTCATGACATCATTTCCATATCTTATATCTAGTTCGCTTTTAGTATCATGTTGTACTCCTAAATTCGCCTATACGTAAAGCTAGCTTAAACCGGTTTGTGAAAGTGTAAACCATTGCGCTCAGTCAGAATATTTATCACGATGAAATGAGACCACTTCGAAGCTGGAAATTTATGCAAGCAATTAAATTAGTTATTTATTAGTCTCACTTTTCGGGTTCGGTAATATTTACATATAGTGTATTTTTGTGTAATAAAAATTGATTGTTCTCATGGGATAAGACTAGTAGTATATCTTCGATCTTTATTGAAGTGCGCCTTAGTTAGGGGCAGATATTATTATTATTACTTCTTCGGGTTTCGAGTGGAGCATAGGGCTTCAACAACACATTTCCATTTTGTTCTATTTGGTGCTGTCTTATTCATCTGGGTCCACGATTGACCATAATCTCTCATCTCCTACATGTCACCCTCATTCCGACGATCCACTCGTCCCTTGTTATTGGGATTCCACATGAAAGATGGCCTTCACTACACACGATGTCATTCGATGGTTTCTTCAATGTATGTCTGATCAATCCATATCCATTTCCTCCTACATATTTGTTGAACGATCGGCTCTTGGTTGGTTTGTTTCACTGCAGAGTTTGTTGTTGCTAATTCTTTTTTTCCGGCCAGATGACCACCTGATCTTCACTATGGACCCAGACAGCGAAGGAAGCAGCTGTTAATAAAAGTCTGCTGTGATCCGTCGGAAATCCTTTTCGTGACTCGTACAGAAGAACTGATTGACTAACTTCACATTTGTGTTGAAAATCCGAATCTTATTCTTTATGCTGGCTGAGTGCAGTGCAGAAGCTTTGCAAACTGATCTCAGGTTGATGAAGGCGTATAGTGCCTTTCCGATTCTATCTGGCTTTCACATCTTCATTCGTTCCGCTGGCCTGTGGTTGAAACGATACTGGCTACCTAGATAAGTGAAGGAAGTGACCCCTGTCAAATCTCTCCCGTTGATGGTGATTAGTGCTGGTTGTTGTTTTTGTTGTGGTTCGTTGGTTATCTTCATCACCCCCGTCTCCTCTGTGTTCACCTGCAGTAATAATAATAATAATATCGACCCATGTTGATTTTTTTGGACGTTATCGAACCCTAGACGCTGCTGGGATGTGTTCCTCACAAACGTGTTAGACCGAATGCGGACATTTAACACTTACAACCGGACTAGTAGATATGCAGACGAGCTGGGGAACCCTTATTCGAAACCTAAGTTTTTTTTTTTTGATTTACAGCTTGATTCCACACTGTATTTTAGGTACAAGTATGGAATTTTCAGCATGGATATCGGTGGCCCAAATTTTGCAGGCCAACCATAGATATCAGGTGTGCGTCGGCGCGGGCTCGAACCGCGGATCATGTGCATGGTCAGCGAGAGTCCTAACCACTGTGCCACCGACGCACAAGTTGTACATAGTCTCCATAACCTTAAAGGATCGAATGACGTATAGACTTGTTTTAGTCATCGAGATCCAGTAGCGCCTGGCACTGTTTCGATTGTGTTGTGTGAGGGCTGAGATACTGCCTGGGCACTCAAAAAGAAGCAGGTGGTTGTTCTAAGCAATCACCCCCCGAGCCCCTGACTTGGACCGTGATCCGCAAGGCAGAGGAGCAGCGTCAGAAGCTACGTTCCTATGGTTGCTGGTGACCAATACAGGCTCATACGCCTTTTGATCCGATTGGATTTCAAAGCCCATGTACTCCATAGTAAACTGCTTTTAGTCTAACCGCTATCCAAACAACTTTCCTGACATGGTAGAACCTGCAGGAACACAAGTATGATGTATCGATCGCGTGATAACTGAAAGGCTTAATCTCATCATCGTCGTATGATTTTTGTTCAACTGTTTGCTTCGTTTGTTATTCAAAATTCTGTGGTGCTTTATTGTTAGCAACACCAATTGCTTTTATTATTTATTTTATGCCTTTACTTTCCTAGTGGAACGTAAGGCACTTCAAGCTAGAGCTTCCGAAACTTCGGTAGCACTGGTGTTTTTATCTTGACGGGGTGAAATTGATAGTCTCATGTCCAACCTTCCCTCTTTACCGGTCTTATTACCCACCTCAGTGACTGGTGAGTATACTACCTCTGAGCCACCGGTGCACTAATTCTTTTTGTAACGACAAGAGACAAGAGCCAGGCAACAAATCGTTTATTGAGAAAATCAAGAGATATTTATAGATTTTTATGTACATTATTGTTAGCAGAGAAGCAGCGTCTTCTCATTGGCTGTTCTCTTGCTGAAGGTTATTCTGTACTGTTTGTGACTTTCTTGGAAAGTTAAGTCATATATCTGCAAATCGTATTTGCACACGTTAAGTCTGATGTGACTGGTTGATGAGTTCCTCAAGGTTAAGCTTTAGGATTGTTTTTTTTCTTATGACCCCGATTCGGGACGTAGACGTTGACGTAAATTGTTGTCTACCAAGTTTGGCTTGTTCGCAGACAGTTCTCACCACACTTTTATTATTATTTTTATTATCATACATTTATAATTTAACCTTTTTTGTTTTTTCACTATCTTTCAGGATGAAAATGAATTGAATAATCGAGAAATTCGTCTTGGTAATTGGGATTTGCATACACATGTAAAATGGATGAAAGGGAAATCGTCAACTGAGAAACAAATCTCAAGTATCCCTTCAGATAGGTAATTCGAATATATACATACATCTGTTATGTATGCATTCATTATTTCCTTTTTCTGAAATGTGTAGAACTGAGTACTCTATGGATGGATGGGGAGTCTTGTTAATTTAGAGTATGCAGTTGGTGACAAAATACCAGGCCTGTTGAACATCTTAGACAAAATCTTAATGTGTTAAGATACTACAGGGCTAATAGTTTATACGCACTCTTAATTTAAAGATATTAAGTGAAATGGTGGAGCTTGTTGACCAGTTCACTTATTCGGGAAGTTGCATCAGTCAACGCCAATGTGGGTTAATCGATGATGAAATCTCAACACGGATATTGGGGGCTCGTTTGGCATTTGCCTGCCATCTCTGGCTTAGTTAGTAGACGTGATATCCGGCTGGCTGGCTGGCTGTCGATGTGTGGTGTGTGCTGATCAGCAGTTAGTTCTCTCTGTCCTTCTTTATGACTGGCTGTGAGTGAGACATGGTCATTGGAAGTGGAAGATATGAAAAGCCTGGCTAACTGTCTTTGATCCAAGGTGCCTACGATCTATCTCCTGTGTTAAGTGGTATAATAAGGTGAGTAGTATTGAGGTTAAGCCATCAGTCGAGTGCTGGGTAGGTAGGAGGGGAAATCAATCGACGAGATTATGTAGTTACAACGACTAAGATGGTGATGACATGTGTTACTCATGCCTAGCCTTCGGTAGCCTTTTTCGACGGGCGATGTGAGCTGACATAGGATTGGCCAGGTTGAAAAAGAGAGAGCTAGTGGTGGTCAAATCAAAACATGACTTCATCAGTTAATGAAATCCACAACAGTTAGTTTAAGCCAGTGATGTAGGGAGGTGTAGACTGCCTTACTAACTGGTTTTGGTCCTCAGGATGGTAAAAACCAGTGGATGGGAACAATTAATGGTAATATGGCTTAAAGTCATCGTTCTCAATGGCTGGCTGGCACAGATGCATTCACTCTTAGTGATTTGCGTGTCATATCCAAAAAAAAACTCTATTTTTCTTCCTCATTATATATGGAGTGGAGTGTGGCAACTGGAACTGCCGCACATCTGTGCAAAGTTCTGCGTTCAAAACCAGTCAGACAGTCGAGTGAAATGGTTGAGCTTATAGACTGATTCAATTATTTAGGAAGTTGTATCAGTTCTAATACATCGATGTTTCAATGGTCGAATGCGCACTAACCATATACATGATCCGAGTTCGTTTCCAGGTTGACCCATTCCTCAACCTCGCTTAAACGATAGTAATCCTGGTAATAAGGGAAAGGGTGTATGCTGAACTAGTAATCCTACTGAAACTTCAAGACTTGAGCTTGAAGTCCTATGTTTTTCTGGGAAAGCAAACAAAGGGAAACAAAAATCATCATCTGTACTCGACTAGTGCGGTTAAGATTGGGTTGGGTGTGGTTAAACAAAAAAAATATAACATGAATCCATGACTATTGGGGATTGAGTCAGCCACCTATGAACGTGTAAACTGCCGGATGAAGCCTATGATCATCTGATTGGCCTTGATATCAGCAGAAATTTTAACTGACTGGCTGGCTGATTGACTGAGTTTTCAACGTGGAACTATGCACGCAACTGGAGTACTTCAATTCGTCACACTTTGAGAATAGCACATATAAAGAGTGAGAAAAGGAAAGGGTATAATATAGGCAGAAATATGTAATGAGGCGAGAATAGCTATGTGATCAAAATTGAGGATTTTATGAATCTAGAAGACCACAAATAGTGTATTGAGAAGAATTTTCAGCCGTATAATCGACAATCTCCAGCCACTGGTGCTTCTTATGGTCTCAAAGACCTCGGCCAGTCTCGATTAATTTCCCTGAAGAAGTTCGAACCAGTTTGCCGAGTGTAGGAAATGTTGGGATTACTTATGTAACAATAGGAGACAGGACACGGGAGTTAAGGTATATTTTTCATTGGTCAAACCGCTGTTTATCTATCTACAGTTAATATTTGTTAACCAATCACTGAGCGTGTGATTTCGGTTTACATCAGACAACATGAAATAGAATGCTCAAACATATTTGGTGTTCTGTTTCTAATGCCGAATTGAACTATGGGAACATGTGAGAATAACATTCCTTTGGCACACATTGTCTGTATCACACCACCACACCCGACACCCGTCAAGAACTTTCGACTGAAGTCGATTGGATATTCTTGGTGCTGGCGGCTTTGTTAGCTTGTTTTGCTGTATGCAGTTCCGGAGCTCGCTGACGTTCACCCGCTCCCCTCTGTTTGCATTTCTGACCGTATATACATGACACCGTGTCACGGTAACCATGTATGGTCCTTCACACTTTGAGAGCAGTTTGCATGACCCTCACTCGTATTCGCCGGTGTTTGGCCTCACACTATCATATACTGCCGTCGTCCGCCCCCCCCTCAGCAGCGATCCAAGTAACAGCCACATCGCCGATGGATCTTGAATGCCAGTCAACTGTTCTACGGCTTCGAAGTCCTCCCTGAAGATCCATATGTCTCCACCAAAAGCTGCAGGGTATAAGCTTTCCATTGTTGGTAGATAGCGACACTAAATGTAACAACAGAAGGCAAAACACAGAAGCCAAGGTATATTTTTCGTTAATCAATCACTGAATGTGCGACGTCGGTTTACATAAAACGACATGAAATAGAATATTCAAATAGATATATCGTATTCTGTTGTTAATGCCGAAATGAACTGTGTGAACATGTGAGAATCATATTCCGTTGGCACACATTGTCTGTAGCACACCACCACACTTATACTTCAGTTATACTAAGATTTTTTCCAATAGAATCTTTTACACATATGTCTGGTTCTCACTCGGTGGTCAGTTATATTTTGGAACTATTCTGTCAAATTTAATTTGTGGATGGTGACTAGCAGTAGAATCCAGGATAACGCGCATTTCCCCCTATTTGGGGCTCGTCAGCTGGATGTACCTGCGTTTCTCAGTGAGTGATGATGCTTCCACCGAGGCTCGAACCCAGTGCCCATAGTTTCAAACGCCCGCCAAAGCATTATCCACTAGACCACTTGGGCGAAGAGGGCCACCTCTTGTGCAACGGGTCATACTAATTATTTAATTGAATTTTAGATTTTCCTGTCGATTGATTAGGCACCAGGTTCGAGCCCCGGTGGGAACATTATCACTCACGGGGAAATACAGGTACATCCGGATTGCTGACGAGTCCCGAATAGGACGAAATGCGCATCTTGACTGGATTCTACTGTTAGTCACCATCCACAAAAAAATAAATTCTAATTAAATGCCCAGACATCGTCGACGCATCTATTTACAAGGAGGCCAACATGTTGACGTGACACCAAGCACTTCAATCCAGTCAACTGATGGGAAAAATCTAAATTGAATTAAATATTCTGTTAAATTTTGACTACAGTTCATATGATTTCTTTAGTTTCTTTTTACTAATATACACTACTCTATTTACAACTATGTTTAACTCTCCAACTCTTCTTTCTAATCTCCTGTTTGATTATGTTTACATTTAATAAATAAGCAGCCTGTACTTGTCTTTATGTGTATGTTTGTGTGTGTGTGGGTTTATAGTACTTGTTAAAGATTACTGCCATGTATGCGTGTGTGTATGTATATATTTCATTGTTTTAGCTACCTTTTCAGTATTGTTCGCTCACCAATTGTCTATAATGTAGGAAAAGTAGATTCACTTAATGAATTAATGAGACTGTATTATTATTATTATTATTATTATTATTATTATTATTGTATCCTTTAGTTCCTAGAGGAACATAGAGTTTCAGCTGCGCACCTCCATTGCCTTCGGTTTTCTGACAACTTTTTCACCCCGCTCCAGGTCTGTTCACATGCTTTCATCTCCTCCTCGCATGACCTCCTCCAAGTCACCCTCACACTGACGACCAACTCGCCGCCTCCCTTTCGGGTTCCACTCGAGTGATGGCTTGTCTAGTGATGTCACTTCATGGTTTCCTCAGCGTATGGCCAGCCAATCCACCTCCATTTCTTCCTGCATATTTGTTTCACATTTGGTTCCTGGTTGATTCGCTCCCAGGTATCCCTGTTGGTGATCTTTTCTGGCTGGCCATCTGGTCTTGAGCGAAGACAGCTGTTGATGAAGGTGTGTAGATTTTTCGAGGTGCTCTTTATGGCGCACCAAGTCTCTGATCCGTATGGTAGCACTGACTGACTTCACATTGGAGTTGAAAATCCGGATGTTATTTTTGATGCTGAGTGCTGTTGACCTCCACACAGATTTGAGAGTAATGAAAGCTTGTCTTGCTTTTCCGATTCTGGCTTTGATATCCTCGTCAGTTCGGCCTGTAGTTGAGACGATGCTTCCCAGGAATGAGACTGTATAGATTTACTTTACAAAATTTCAACCCTAAAGATAGGCCTTCTAATTGTAAGGCAGACAAGCTGATGGCGGAGTGATTGAAAACGAATTTATAGGGGTCAATGGTGAACTTTCTCTGTACTTCGACAGATTTAAGGCTCCTGTTGTTCAATTCAAATTTGACATTCTCAGCTCATTTTCCTTGCACCAAGATAACATATTCAATTAAACGATTCTCTTTCACTTGATGATAGTTCTGAAAGAGCAGAAGACCTCTGTGATGTATTTCTCTGTAATTCGAATAAACGCGAGCTAATAGAATCAATAAGGTTTCTAGTGTGACGTTGGAGAGAGTTTTAGAATTGGGATAAAATATGATGTCTTCGGAATGCCTTCTAGAACCACTTTGGATATCGATGATTCTTAAAATGCAGTCTTCATAGAAGTTCAATTTTGTACTCACTTCGGCAAGTTTGACAGAGTAACACAGAAATCCATTGACAGTTCATTCACTGTCGTAGGGTCCTTGCATTTTTTTCAAATCGTGGAAAATATGATGCATTGGAACATTAGAAGACCAGGACACAGTTATCTGTAGAAGAGATGATGATAATAAAATGGGTGGAATTCTGTCTGACAACAGCATATTTTACATCTGAATGAAAAATATATCAACAAAACTGAAGGAGGAGTAGTCATGGGATCGCCTATCTCACCAATAATAGCTGATATATTCATCGATTTTTGGGGGAAGAGAATGCACCTAAGTCAATCAGGTCATCAATAAAATGTTGGTGGAAATATGTAGACAACATGTTTATGATAATGAAGAGGAAAACGATGTTGAGAAATTCTTCTCACACACACACACACATAAACAGTCATGTTGTTTCAATAAAATTCATTATGGAAATAGAGAATGAAACATTAGGGAACTGGCTATGTTAGACTGCAAAGTACAAAGAGTAACATATGGAAGCATAAAAATGATGCTATGTAGAAGAAATACTACACACTCTGAAAGATTCCTTGATTATCTACCTAGCTCATCCACTGACGGCAAAACGACTCTGTGAGCTCAAGGTCTAGCAGATAGAATACGTAGACTTACAACAACCCCAGAGAACCAGCAAAAAGAAATAAACATCCTATTCAAAATGTTACCTGACAACAACTGCCCTAAAGAATATATCAGAGATAAGGGAAAAAAGAGGGTAAAACTGGAAAATGACAAAAAACGAGGAGGGCAAAAAGCAATAGCAATACCATACAAAAAAAGGTACATCAAAGGCAATTCGAAGAAACTTCAAAAGTATTGGGTTTTGCATCGCGTTTAAACCTACTAATCTAATTAAAAATAAGATAGATCAACTGAAAGATCCCATAAAAATGATGGATAAAAACAATGTGATTTACAAAATACCTTGTGCTGAGTATCCGACTAAATATGTGGGTCCAGATGACTCAAAATGAGAATGAATTAACATAAACGCCTGTCTAACTAAAGGTTAGATTGATTGGAACAATGTTTGTATTCTGAAATCTAATATGAACAAATGGAAAAAGAGACTTATAACAGAATCTATATTCATTAAGGTCACACTTGATACATGTAACAAGGATGACATGGCAGCACAACTGTCAACAAACCTGGAATATTATTCTGAATACCACAAAAGTGAATGGACGAAATAAAGGAACTATATGCACGAATGCAAATGATAAATCCGTGAATTAAAAACAAAACAATTCCAATACATGAAGGATTTTATCATAAGCTGACATCAGTTAGAGAACCACTGGAAAACCTGCCAGGGAGTACTGGACAGCTGTTTCGTCCTAGTTTGAAAATGAGACAGTAACTCATCGAAGAAGACATTTCAAAATGGTCGGGATATATTGTAAATTGGCAGAAGCTAGAATTCATGCACTGGCCTTTGGATTGGCGGGTCTCAGTGGCTTAATGGTCTACGAGGTTGCCTTGTAACCAGAAGGTCCTGGGTTCGAACCCCGGTGGGTGGGTGCGTGCGTACTGATGAAGCGTCTCAAACTAGGACTAGTGAAACAGCTGTCCAGTACTCCCAGGTTTTCCAGTGATTCTCTAACTAATGTCAGCTCATGATGAAATCCTCCATACAATGAAACAGAATCCGTACAGAAAAAACGGATACTTGAAAATTCCAATACAGTTGGTGTGATAATGGGCAGTAATTTTGCTCGAAATATTACCAAAAACACACAAAAAAAAACTTATTGTGTGTAAACTATTGAAAAATATATTTATACTTTATTTGATCTCTGATAATATTGTGCTTTTATTTGTGTGTAGTCCACTCAGCACTATACTATTATTATTATTATCATTATTATTATTACTATTACTATTATTACTTTCTTCACCTCATTTGTGAACGTGTATTGTTTTCTACGGTTGCCTTGACTATTCAGCCTTTTAATTAGGTTATCAGTCCTTCTGCTTTTTTCTTTTTATCATTTTCACTCCTTCTGCTTCAATTCTATAGTCTAATTGACTAAGTTTTCGTAGCATATAATAATCAATTTTATAAATAGTAAACGTATCTATGGTGAAACTGCATTGATTGAGATGATGAGATTGTGCGTTTCTGTGTGTTATTCATGGCAAACCGTCTACGTCTCCGATAAATATGATTGGCAAAGAATTTGGGGCTGAAGTCTTGATTGAAGTCATCATTTGGTTTGTGAACAACTTAAGGAGGTGCAAACTAGACTAGACAGACTACTGCCTGGTTGGGGGATCCCTGAGACTTAACGACTTTTTAAAAAAAAAAAGAGAATTTCTCTTCGATCCAGGTATAAAATGGACTCACACAAAGACAAACTTGGAGGATCTGGACTTCGCTGATGATATATGTCTGATCTCCCACAAACTGGAAGATATGCAAGTGAAAAGCAACAAGTTTGGCGATAGAAGAAGCATCCAGAGAAGATAGGACTTGAGGTGAACATAGAGAAAACAGAGGTGATGAAGATACCTGGCCAACAACAACAGACAACAATCAGCATAAATGGGAGGGAAATGTAAGTAACAACCTCCTTTACCTGCCTACCTACCTAACTGGGAATCATCGTTTCAACTACAGGCGGAACTGATGAGGATATCAAAGCAGCGAGGATCGGGAAAACAATGCAGGCTTTCATTACTCTCAGGTCTGTGTGGAGATCAACATTCAGCATGAAAATGAAAATAAGATCCGGATTTTCAACTCCAATGTGAAGTCAGTCAGTGCTACCATACGGATCAGAGACTTGGTGCGCCATAAAGAGCACCTCGAAAAATCTACACACCTTCATCAACAGCTGTCTTCGCTGAAGACCAAATGGCCAGCCAGAAAAGATCACCAACAAGGATACCTGGGAGCGAACCAATCAGGAACCAAATGTGAAACAAATATGCAGGAAGAAATGGAGGTGGATTGGCTGGCCATACGCTGAGGAAAACATGAAGTGACATCACTAGACAAGCCATCACTCGAGTGGAACCCGAAAGGGAAGCGGCGAGTTGGTCGTCAATGTGAGGGTGACTCGGAGGAGGTCATGTGAGGAGGAGATGAAAGCATGTGGACAGACTTGGAGCGGGGTGAAAAAGTTGTCAGAAAACCGAAGGCAATGGAGGTGCGCAGCTGAAGCCCTATGTTCCTCTAGGAATTAAAGGATAAAATAATAATAAGAAGAAATAATAATTATTCTTTCTACCTTTATAGATTTTCGTCTACAGAGGGTTCGATCCCTTTGTGGGTTGGGTGCCTACTGCCTATGATTCCCAAACTAGGATGAAACAGCTGACTGTCCAATACTCCATGCTGGCTTTCACTTGGTTCTCTAACTGATATCAACTCGTGGTCAAACTTGGAAAATAATAATAATAGTAATAAATGTTAATGGAATTTTAATTTATAATCTCAATATCTTAAATGGGTTTTTTGTGTGTTTTTCTATTTTAGACAAATTTCATTGTATTATGGTAATGGGGATTTATGTCAAGAAACTGGAAAATTACGAGAAACTGTTGTAAAATTGAAGTAAGCTCTATTTATTAATTTATTGATTTATCTTTTAACTGAATAAAATTGCCCATTCACTATATTTTTTTCAAAAGAATGATTTTTGAACAAAGAATATTCACGATTTCATCATGAGCTGACAGTAGTTAGAGAACCATTGGAAAACCTGGGAGTACTGGACAGCTGTTTAGTCCCAGTTTGGGACTCTTCAGCAGTACGCACGCACCCACCGGGATTCGAACCCAGGACCTTCCGGTTACAAGGCGAGCTCGTATACCATTAAGCCAGTAGGGTGCAGCAGGTCGGGTGTGAGGACAAATACTCGCCGAAGACATTGGCTAGCGGTCGCGCTATGTCGTGAATTGGCAGAAGTTAGAATTCAAGGACCATTGGATCGGGTCCCAGTGGCCTAATGGTATACGAGCTCGCCTTGTAACCGGAAGGTCCTGGGTTCGAATCCCGGTGGGTGCGTGCGTACTGCTGAAGAGTCCTAAACTAGGACTAAACAGCTGTCCATTACTCCCAGGTTTTCCAATGGTTCTCTAACTACTGTCAGCTCATGATGAAATCCTGAAACCGATCAATTCCCTACAAACCATCACTTGAAAGAATATTCACATTTTCAATGTGAACCTTGTCTTCATTATCAAGTTCTACAGTTATATATATCTATCCATAATAGTCAATGAGTTAGTGTTATTAACAATATTAGCATCGAATCAATACTAATCTCAGTGGATTACACTTCGATAGCATCAACAATATAACCATACACACTGAATATCAGACAGAGAAATTAGGAAAGATAATAATCCAAATTCATAAAGGTTAGCCAGAGCAGCGGTAGTAGTGGCTGGACTGCTGTTTCAGGCGAATCGCGATAGTCTCTGCTGTTTAAAGTCTACGGTACTTGGATGTTTTTGGCAATTTGTTTGGTACCTATTATTATAAGAATAAAACTTGTGCACTGTGGTAGAGTGTAATTCCATTATGGGTAAATTTTGTTTTGATAAAGTCTCACAGTGATATACAGTAATGTTTACTGATGACCACGTTTCGAGCACAATTTATTCCCACTCATAATCTTACCAAGGTAATCACACGACTTCCTAAATTCACTTATATAGTTCCATTGTTTTTCTCTTGATTTTCACTTGATTTGATTGGTAGTAGTATTTTCCATATTTCAGGTATGAGTGAAGAGTCATTCCTATTGTGCGTCGGTGGCACAGTGGTTAGGACTCTCGCCGACCATGCACATGGTCCGAGGTTCGGTCCCCTGCCGGCGCACATCTGATATCTATGGTCGGCCTGCAAAATTTGGGCTACCGATATCCATCCTGAAAATTCCATACTTGTACCAAAAATACAGTGTGGAATCAAGCTGTAATCAAAAATAAAATAAAATATTGCATGTGTTGGGTGTAGACTCGATGAACAAGGATTCAGTAATCAACCTCTCTCTCCACCTACCTAGATTACTTTTTAGAATTTTAACCCTCTCCCACCCTATTGTGTGGTTGTGTGTTAGCGCATGCATTGCAATTGCTGAGCTTTTTTCTAAATTACTTATCTTCTCGGGGTCAACCATTCTTACCTTAGCTAAATTTTTATGCTCTGACAATCTGACTACCCCTGACCTACTAGTTTGACCTATGTAGTTGACCTCACAGTCATTGCATGGTATTTTGTAAATAATATTATTTTGTCTAATTGGGTCAACTGGGTCCTTTAACCTACAGAGCTTGTCCCTGAGTGAGTTTGTAGGTTTAAATGCCACCCTAATTCCTATTTTATTCAGAATCCTACGTAGTGTCTCAGATGTCCCCTCTTTATATGGTATAACTGTGGATGACTTATATTCTTTCTTATTTATGTTATTATTACTAGTTTCACAATTATTTTTTATTTTTTGTTTGGCCTTTTGTGATCTTCCTAATGAATTTTATAGGATAGTTATTCAACACCAACGCTTCTTCTATCTGTTTTAATTCATCATTTAGATCTTTTTTGTGCTACTTAGTGCCACTGCTCGGTTTGTTAAACATTTAACTAAGCCTGCCTTAACAGTTAAAGGATGAGACGAATTAAAGTCTAAATATCTATTAGAATGCGTTGGTTTTCTATAAACACTAGTGTGTAGTTTGCCTTCTTCTATTCTTTTTATCTTACAATCTAACATAGCTAATTCTCCTTGTTCATTTTCTGATTCAAATGTGAATTTTATTCCCTCAACTTGTGAGTTTGTATGTGTCAAGAAGCTAGAGATGTGTTCTGTTTTTAACACTGTGAAAGTGTCATCCACATATCTCCACCATATTTTCGGAGTAGGGTTAAATGTATTGAGGGCACTATTTTCCCAGCTGTCCATAAATATGTCTGCTACGATAGGGGATATTGGTGATCCCATTGCTACACCTTCTGTTTGTCTATATATTTTGCCTTGGAACTTAAAGATAGTAGATGTGAGGCATAACTGAATCCCTAAAATAATTTCTTCAATGGACAGCTTTGTCCTATGACTGAGTTCCGGATCCGCAGTTAATTCTTTTTTAACTGCTTCTAAGGCCATATTAACTGGTATATTAGTATAAAGACTAGTTATATCAAAACTAACCATTGTTTCATCATTCGCTAGTTGAATGTCATTTAGTTTATTTTTCATCTCATATGAATTAGTTAATCTAGAGTTTGAACGATTTCTAATGGGGCATAGTATTAGAGCTAAGTGTTTTGATAATTCATACGTGGGGGTATTTCTAAAATCTACTATTGGTCTTATGGGGTAACCTGGCTTATGTATTTTTATAGTACCATATATTCTACTAGCATTATTAGTTTTAGGCATTAAATTAAACCATTTAGACTCACCCAGTGATGGCTTCATTCTGCGTATTAGTTCCGCTGTAGATTTCTTAACCTTATTCATTATTGTATCTACAGGCTTCTTAATTTCCTCATATGGACCCGTTTGAATATGTTCAGTAACTTTTTTGATGATGTTTGGTACCTAGTAGATGATGAAGAAAGATTCTTCTGTAGCCGATTTGGATGAGGTGGTCTAATATCAAACTGTTGATGATGGTTTTCACTACACCTTTATCATTGAGCCACACTGATAGATGTCCTCGAACGAGCACGAAATATTAAGTTCCTAGATCAACCGTCAATATAACTCTCCTCACTACAGGCGCATTTGGATTGCTAGATACAATTAAAAGTGGCTAGCTAGTCTGGGTACTTCATCTTTTGATGTTGACGTTAGGCGTAGAGTGTTCGGCAAAGAGGGAAAATCAATCGACGAGGCTATAAAGTTACATAGATTAAGTTGGCTAGGTGACGTGCTGCGCATGCCTAACCATCGCCTCCCCGATGGGCATTACTATCTGATATAGATAGGTGCTGGTTGGAATAGAGTAAGTGGTGGCCAAACAAAAACATGGCCACATCAATCCATGAAATCCTTGACAGTTAAACTGAGTCAGGTAGGGAGGGAGATGCAGACTTCCGGATTGGGGCCTTCGGGACTCACTCTAGGAATCAATGGCTGGAGACAATAGGTGACATGGCTCAAAGTGATCGTTGTCAATGGCCAGCGCAGATGTATTCAGTCTCTTTAATCTTTCATATTCCTTTTTACCATTACCCTTTCTGTTTCGCTTTTATACTTGTGAAACTCTATCGATTCTCTTCACTCATCTTCTTGTCTACGTTTGTATGCTATTTGGAACGTGGTGAATCTAACTGCTGCACTTCGGTGCCAAGTTCTATGTTGAATCCAGACAGACAGAATCACCACCAGTTATGTAGAAAATATGACTTGTAGTTTACCAGCATTAAAACGGCTTTGAACTGACTTTGTGTTAACTTCTTCGTAATTATTTCGCTAGGTATATCGCCCTTGAATTGTAATCGTATATATAAAGACTTCTTATTCACGTGTAGAGAATAGTTCTTTTCAACCGTCTTATTCATATGTTTCCTGATGGATTTTTTGTGGATAGCTATTTTCAACCAAGGTTTTCATATACAATCCATAGTTCATTTTCAGTTGCCTCTTCTGAGCATATATCTCTTACCCTGTGGCTGAGGGTGCTTACTGAATTTCTGTTGTACTTGAGAGGAACGAAGCTGTGAAAATGTCTATACTATCGTGTCCATGTGCTTTTTTTATGCTTGTAAGAAGGACATCTAGGAAGTCAATTAATTCTGTTTTTGGGATTCCTGTTCGTACATGAATTTCATAGCAGAATGTACTTCATTGAATTCAGTAATTATTGTGTTCCCATCCGAATGATTATCACAAAGAATGAAGGTGTCATCCACATAATACCGGCAATAAAATGAGAATTTTCTGATAAGGTGGTTGTTCAAGGGTCCATTTTCTTGTTTACTTAGAAAGAAATCTTCCAAAATGGGACCCGATGGAGAGCCAGCCCATCGCCATTCGTTCACTACTATGCATATATAACTGTAGACACCTAATGATGAAGTTATCGAAAAGAATCCTCCTAGTCATTTATTTTTTGTTTGAAAATGGTATGACATAATCAGTGTCTATTCTATATGAATTGAAAACATTTATTTCCCGATACGAATTTAAAACAAGCAATAAATGTGGTTAACAAAGCAGGATTTAATGATAAATTCATCAATTCTCGGTAGACCTCTTCATCAGCTGAATACTCTACATACACGGATATATATATATATATACTTTTGAAATTACATTGGGAGATATAAGTAAACAAACTACATTGAATTAATCATACAGAAAGACAGGTGAGAATGTTTTCCAGGTCATGTTCAAATAGATAAGCAGGAGAGGGAGAGAGAGAGTATGAGAGATCAAAATTAAGATGAATTGCATTACGCTTCAATTACATCACTTAGATTAACAAATAGTTATTAGAGAATATATCAAGAATTGCAAATAGAGTAATATCAATAGTAATAGTTATAATAATAATATTAATAGTGTTGAAGTGAGTTAAGATAATGCCACTGATAAAGGATAG